GTTGGGTAATCCCATCACGATTTTGAACATAACTAACCCGATCTCTAAAAATGCCAACCCATGAGTTAGTAGAGAAATAGCTTAGACTTATAAGACCAACACCGTTCCTAAAGGAGTACAACCCAGACCCACTAATAAGGCTGTAACACTCTATAAAGGGAGGTAGATATAGCCCGAACCATTGTGACCTAACCCACTTACCCTCTTTCAGAACGACTTGAGGAAGAAGCCTAAGTTGACCCAGAATTCATGAAGATATGCAAGGCTTGGGCTGAGGATCCACATATCACACCGGGATATACATTAGTCATTACACTCTTTCGAGAGGGTTAAATAGTTATATAAGCAGCCTCTAAACAGATACTTGAGATATTACACCAGTTTGAGGCCTCTCCCTCTCATTGACACTTTGGAATCCCAAGTAGCTACCGAAGACTGGCAACCCACAATTTCTGGGAGGGGATGAAGTAGTTTTGGGAATTTGTGGCTTCCTGGCCCACTTGCCAACAGTAGAGTTATGAGGCAATGGATCCCCTAGGGTAACTTCAAGTTCTCAAGTCCTAGAGCTGGTATGGGAATAAATCAGTATGGATTTCATCTTTTGTCTCCCCACTTCAAACAGGTTATACTGGTCAAAGTGGAACTGTGGAACATGGGACAAAATATGCTAAATTCTGAGACTTTCCACATCCTTATAGGACCAACGCTGTTCCTAAAGGAGTTTGTATATTGGGTAACCCATCCCAATATTAAATGATAACTCAGGCCTTTGCCCCATCTTTAATAATGCCCAACCTACGAGTTAGTAGAAAATATGTTAGCCTAACCTTTGCTAAAGGAGTATATTGGAAAATCCAATCTTGATTTTTAATGATAAGTGAGGCCCTATCCCAATCTCTAATACTTCTCGCAGCCCACGAGTCAATTTAAAACAATTATTTGAGCCGAGATGTATTCCCGATGTTAAACAACTGTGACATTCATAGTTGAGGCGAAGTAGTAGTAAAATGGGTCAATCTTATAAGACCAATTCCGTTCCTAAAGGAGTCAATATATTAGGTAATCTCATCTCGATTTTAAATGATAGCTCTATTATAATTCGGCCTGCCTTTGAGTTCTGTTAGTCTGATAACAACCAAGAAGAGAGAAGAAGAAAGAAGAATGAAAGAGAGAGAGAAAGGAAGAGAAAAGGAGAGAAGAAAAGTCTGGTTCGAATTAGGGAAAAATTACTTCTCCCATTCGGCCAGACATGTTTTATATTACTAATATAATGGAAAAGACACATGTGCCCTTATTTTTAAGTGAAGGACACTAGTTCTAATATAATATTACAGATCATCAACCTCAACATAAGTATAAAGACAGAAATACCCCTACACTAACAAGCTCAAACTTGACCTGATCTCTAATACTGCCCAAACCATGATTCTTAGTAAAAAACTTATTTGAGCTGTGATGCAGTTTTGATTTTAGATGACAGTGGCATTCATTACTGAGGAGAGTTAGAAGACAAATGAATCTACCTTATAAGACCAAGACTGTTCCTGGAGGGGTCAGTCTATTGGGTAATCCCATCGCGATTTTGAACATAGCTAAGGCCCTGGCCCAATATTTAAAAATGCCCAACCCATGAGTTGTAAAAAAATAGCTCAGTCTTATAAAACCAACACCTTTCCTAAAGGAGTACAACCTGCATGCACTAATAAGGCTGGAACGCTCTGTAAATGGAGGTTGATATGCCCTGACTCATTGTGACCTAACCCACTTACCCTCTTTGAGAATGACTTAAGGAAGAAGCCCAAGCTAACCCAAAATTCATGAAGATATGCAAGGCTTGGGCTGAGGATCCACATATCAGATTGGGGTATACATTAGTCCTAACACTCTTTCGAGATGGCTGAATGGTTATATAAGCAGCCTCTAAAGTCTAAACACATACTTGAGATCTCTCTCTCTCTCTCTCTCTCTCTCAATGACACTCCAGAATCCCAAGTAGTCACTAAAGACTGGCAGCCCACAATTGCTGGTAGGGGTGCAAATGGATTGGATCATGACCCGATCCGATCCGAAGTCCGATCCTATATTGTCAGATTCAGATATCCCTATTTCGGATTTTTGATCAGATCGGATAATCGGGTCCGATTAAAAATCGGATTGGATTTGGATCACCCCTTATCCTATCCGAAAGGATCCGATCCAATATATATGTTATGTATTTATTTATTTATATATAATATATATGTTTATATGTTATTTATTTATTCATAAATATGTTATTTATATTCCATTTTTGTAAATTTTTTATATTATTTATTTTTATAAAATCATATATATATTGATGAAAATAGTTGAAAAAGATACTTGTATTTTTTGTTTTTCTTTCTTTACACAATTATATTTTCTTTTCCTTTTAATAATTTATTATTTTTTAAATTAATTCGGATCGGATCAGATTCGGATATCCAACATCTTGATCAGCTTCGAATTCAAAATCGGTATTTATGAGATCCGATCGGATCTACAGTGTTTCGGATCGGATTCGAATGTACCTTGATTTGAATCTGATCCAATCCGTTTGCATCCCTAATTGCTGGAAGGGGATGAAGTAGTTTTGGGAATTTGTGGCTTCTTGCCCCACCTGCCAACAATAGAATTGTGAGGCAATGGATCTCGTAGGATAACTTCAAGTTCTCAAGTCCTAGAGCTGGTATGGGAAGATATCAGTATGAATCTCATCTTTTGTCTTCCCCCAGTGTAGCTTTTCTTCTTCCTAGTTTTAGATCCTTGTTCATCTATTTCCCTTGTTGGTTTAGAGGTTTCCTTAAGTTCAATCATAGGTTCTATTGTATGGGTTTATAACCTGAGGCAAATTCTCTTTAGTGTTGCTTACTGAATTTTATTATGATACTTTAGCATTCCTTCCTTTTCTCTAACTCCTGAAGTTTTTCCATGCATTTCTCAAATAAAATTCCACAACGCCTCTTCTAGTTCAAGCAGTTTCAACACCAGGCAGTACAGTTTTTGTGATGCTGGTAGTTTGTAGTTTTGGATCTTTCCAACCAAGGTTTAAATTTTGTCAAAGCTATAAAAAAGGTTGACTTTTCATTAACTTTTGGGAGTGGTTGGAGTGAAATAATGGAATATGAAATCCATAAGGTTTTGCCAACAGTGGAATGAGAGAAAGTAGACTAAGATGGTTTTGTCACATGCATAGAAGACCATCAACAGCACCTGTAAGAAGAAGTGATCCGTTGCAAGTCGAAGGGGGTAGAAGGGCTAGGGGTAAACCAAAAAGGACATGGGCCAAAGTAGTAAGAAATGATTTTAGTGCCCAAAATTCAACAATTGATCTAGCATTAAATGGAATGGAATGGCAAAACAGCATTAAACAATGGATTTATGCAAGACAAGTAGATTTGGTTGTGGTAGATTATATTAGAGGAAAAGAGAAGAGAGAGAGGTGTTAGTTTGAACACTTAAGTGAGGTTCTTTTGGATGTCATAATGAATTACAAAAGTAAACGGGAGAGTATTTGTAAGTTGAATGACTTGATCATGGTGCATATAGATTCTGTGTGCATTTTTTGTGCCTTATCAGATACCATGTTCACTCTTTTTTCCAACTAAGAAACAGATTTTGTTATTGTTGTTCACTCTTCGGGGATCAACTAATGCATTAAACACTGGCTCCTGGAAAAGGATATTATCAGTGTGGAGCCCAGCGGAAAGGACATCTTGATTTGGAAAATATAATAGAAATGGAAATTTGAGTAGGCAAAACAATTATGCCTCTTTTCCCTTGGGGGGGGGGGGGAGAGTTTGCAAGTATTTTTGGAGATGGAAAAGAGTATATTCTTAAAGGCCTTCTCTCCCAATAGAAAGGCCTTGCCTTTGGGCATACCAGTCCCTTCCCCCACCCACCCTGCAAACTCAAGTGCTTTTACAGGAAAAATGATCTGATTACGATACTGAGTGAAGCTCTTAAAGAATGAAGTACGTGAAAACAAGCTTGATGAGGAACCTTGGAATCCAAGGAGGAAGGGTCAAGACAAACACCCTCCAAGGATTCCGAAAGATAGTGTCTCTGGAACTTCTTTATCCCTCAAAACCCTTCATCATCATAATTCATCATCCCTCAAAACCCTTCTAAACCACAAATCCCAATTCAGTCCAGATTCAAATTGGACATCATGCTTAATGTGCTGCAGAAAGAGAGGAAGTAGTCTGAATATAGCTTTTCAATCTGGCATTCAAGCTATAGTCCCACCTATTAGGCATTAGTCTGTGGATGCTTCTGATAACTTATGCCATAGTCTATTGGAATCCAAGAGAAAGCTCTACAACCATTTCCCCAACAATGACGAGTTCCCAAGTGTTATTCTTCCCAGACTTAGTCCACCTGCCTTTTTATGCTTTCATATACTGTCTCCTATTTGATTATGTTCTCTCTTTTGGATTCTCCTGATTCCCACAAAAATTCATTCATTATCATCATAATAAAATTTTGACAGTTTATTAAAAGTAAGAAGGATAAGCTTCACTTACACCTTAGGAAAAATCTGCTTTTAGTTGCATACTCAATGACATTGGTCATCTTATGTAGAACGTGGTTTTCATGTCGCTTAACCAAAGAAGTCCTGAAAGTGATGGTAGATTACAGCATGTAGTTATATTAGAAATCAATTCATTCTTATTTCCGTAGCTACCATCGAGCAATGCTTCATCTTTGTGGTCTCCCCACCCCCCACCCCAGCAGAAATCCTTTTTAGAAGCTTGAACCATTAAGATACCACTGGTGAGTTTGTTACTTGTTCTTCCTGTTTTATTTTAGTTTTTGCTCCTATCAAGTCCATACAAGTACACATCCTTGTCTAGGTATGTTGTAGAATTTGCTAAAAAAACTTTTATATTTATTAAATTTGGACTGTTTCTTAAATCTCTGCTTGATAGGTAGGGTTTGTTTCTTAATCTCCAAAACAATCATGTGGCTGTTTCTGGCAGGTATGCTAGTGCATTAGAGAAGAACCCAGAAGACTATGATGCACTTTACAATTGGGCATTGGTTCTTCAGGTCTGATTTTTATCATTTGATTATCATTATTGGCTCTTCCATGACATTCACTGATGCATGTAGGGATCATACCTGAGGGGGAGATGTGTGTCTATCAGAAAAAAAGTTGCTTTCTTAATATTATAATTTTGTATTACTATTTAGCATGGTGGTCTTATATTTGTTTGTTAATCTAATCTGTTTCAAACCCATTGGGTACCAAATTTCAATCACTCTTTCCATCTATATTAATTCTGGATGCAGGAAAGTGCAGATAATGTTGATCCAGATTCTAGTGCACCTTCAAAAGATGCTTTGCTTGAGGAGGCTTGTAGAAAGTATGATGAAGCCACCCAACTATGCCCTACCCTTCATGATGTAAGTGTCAATATTACTTTTTCTTAATAAAATTGTATTAATGTTTGGGATTTGGATTGTGAGATGAAGGTGAATATTAAGACTTAGTGATCAAATTATATACAAAGTTACTCTTGATATACAAGGAGAGCACTGATGATTAAAATGTGAAAGTTAAAAGAAAAAGAGGAATTTAAAACTAATTGTTTCTTTCGTTAGGTACTCGGATAAGAAAATACACCAAAATGCCATTTGATAATGGCTGAAGTAGATGATTTGGATGACTTGTTGGATTAGTTACTATATAGCTAAAAATTATTATAAAACTATTTTATCCACTAAAAGACAATAAGTCATTTAGTTCTGCCACTTAAGTTGTTATCAGATGGCCCCTAACTGATACCCTTGGTAGGAAGGGAGTGGATTGAAAGCCCTTGTATTAGGGACCACATCCCTAATATCTTTATCCTTGGGAGATAACTAGTAGATACCATTTGTTTTTGTTTCCTAAATCAAAATCCCTTCCAGAAAGCATGAATTTCTGAAAGAATAAAGATCGAGGATTGATGCCCTAAGGTTAGAGATGATGATGATAGTGATTTATATGTTAGATAACATCTTGTTCATTCAATGGTTGTGTTGTAGCCAACACGATATGGTTGGGACCAATGTTTTCAACCCATTGTTGACCCGGATAGTCGAACCGTTTTAACGTCACCCAGCCACAATTCTGTGTCCAGTTTTCCTAAAACCCAGGATTTGACCAAAATTGTTGACTTGGTCAAAACCCATTTGACCTGGCCATTGGGTCACAGGTTACACACTACATGTATTTGCAAACTTCCCAAGGCCATAACTTTGTGCTTGGTTGTCTGATTGGGGTGATCTTTAATATCTTGCCCTGCTATTTTTTGCCAAAAAACCCTTTTTGTCCTTAAATCTCAATTTTTATCATTTTTATAAATAAAAACTGAAATAAAAAAGATAAATTAAACATAAAATAATATATATAAAATAAACATACATACATACATATACATATATATATATATATATACATATATATATATATATATATATATTGTTAGTGGTGTTAGTGAAGGGGTATTTCAGTCTTTGTACTTGTTGAGAATGCTGATGTGTACTGTTATGTTAGTTCGAGTGCCTCTTACTTAAAGAAGGGCACTCAAGTCTTTTTCAATAAGTCAATAATATAATAATAGGTCTGGCCGAATCAAGGNTGGTGTCACTAGTCATGGCATGATTGGCCCAGGTTGAGGGTGGACCATGCAAGTCATAGCAATAATTAATGGTATGTTCATCCATACCACAATGAGTACATCTCCTTGGGCCCGAGCCACGTCCTCTGCCACGGGCTCCCCCTGAATCTCTACCTCCAGTACGACCACCACCACGGTTATATGTAGGTCCACCACCACCACCACCACTCCGGCCATATACCGGACCACTGCTACCACCACGGCCAGATTGAGCTCCTCGAGCTCCACCTTTAACACCATGACCCCTTGACACTGCAAAGGCTGATCTATTTGAGACATTAGAGTTCTCAGTAGATCCAGTGGAAGTCCTCCGAAGTCGAGCAAACACCTCTTCTAAGGAAGGGAGAGCTGACCCTCCTAGTATTTGAGCCCGCACTGGTTCATACTCAGATTTCAGCCCCACAAAAAATCGACTCACATCAAGCTGTTCTCTCTGTTGTTGCTGAATTTTGACATCAGAAGTGAGGGTGTGATAAACATTCAACTCATTATGAATGTTTCTCATACTAGCATAGTACTCGTCAAGACTTTGATTGCCCTATTGCAGATTAAAGTATTCCTGATACAACTGATATACTCTGGTTGTATTGTCTTGACCAGAATACAACTTCTTAGCATGGTCCCACACATCTTTGGCAGTGTCAAGAAACATGAAATTTACACTAATCTTGGGTTCCATACTGTTCCATAACCACGTGATAATCTGTGCATCCTCTTGTTCCCAGTCTTCATACTCATGAGAATCATTGGAGGGTTTCTCCTCCCTTATGTGTTTCACCTTCTTCTTTGCCTTAAGAAAAACTTCTACAGATTTAGCCCAAGGTACATAATTCTCTTCATTCAGTTTAATGGAGGTCATTTGAATATTCAGGTAGTCAGCAGGTATCATCACATTAGATTTGCTATCACTGTAATCTCTCATTGCTGAATTCTGTTATTACTAAATTCGGCACACTGCACACTACTTGATCACACTAATCACACTGGTTTCAACACTTGTTATTGCTGAAGGTTGCACTCCTTACACCACAAACCCTACCCTACGACTACCTGAAATCTCACCACTATATGAGAACCACTCCCCCTTCGAATCACACAAAAAAAACAGCATAAACCCTAGTACACACAGTCTGAAATCCCATCATATGATCCGAAACATTCTTCCTATTTGATTCATAACAAAAAATTTGCATAGAAAACTCTTACCTCATCACCCGAAAAACAAACCACACAAGAAGAAAATCAGTCCACACAAGACACCCACTGCACCACACGAATCAGCCCTCTTCTCTTCATCGATTAGGGGAGGGTTTCTTAGAGACCACAACAACCGACCACGAACAGCACAACTGGAGGCATAGAAACCTCCAAGGGAAGAGGGTGACCACTCCTTTTCAACCCTTTCCCTTATCTCCAATCGATGGCAGAGAAATCAAGAGAAAACCCTAGATTGAGTGCGTAGAAAACAGAAATCTGGGCAGATCYGAGTTGCTTAGTTGWRCTCTGATACCATATTATAATTCGGCCTGCCTTTGAGTTCTGTTAGTCTGATAACAGCCAAGAAGAGAGAAGAAGAAAGAAGAATGAAAGAGAGAGAGAAAGGAAGAGAAAAGGAGAGAAGAAAAGTCTGGTTCGAATTAGGGAAAAATTACTTCTCCCATTCGGCCAGACATGTTTTATATTACTAATATAATGGAAAAGACACATGTGCCCTTATTTAAGTGAGGGACACTAGTTCYAATATAATATTACAGATCAGCAACCTCAACATAAGTATAAAGACAGAAATACCCCTACACTAACAAGCTCAAACTTGACCTGATCTCTAATACTGCCCAAACCATGATTCTTAGTAAAAAACTTATTTGAGCTGTGATGCAGTTTTGATTTTAGATGACAGTGGCATTCATTACTGAGGAGAGTTAGAAGACAAATGAATCTACCTTATAAGACCAAGACTGTTCCTGGAGGGGTCAGTCTATTGGGTAATCCCATCGCGATTTTGAACATAGCTAAGGCCCTGGCCCAATATTTAAAAATGCCCAACCCATGAGTTGTAAAAAAATAGCTCAGTCTTATAAAACCAACACCTTTCCTAAAGGAGTACAACCTGCATGCACTAATAAGGCTGGAACGCTCTGTAAATGGAGGTTGATATGCCCTGACTCATTGTGACCTAACCCACTTACCCTCTTTGAGAATGACTTAAGGAAGAAGCCCAAGCTAACCCAAAATTCATGAAGATATGCAAGGCTTGGGCTGAGGATCCACATATCAGATTGGGGTATACATTAGTCCTAACACTCTTTCGAGATGGCTGAATGGTTATATAAGCAGCCTCTAAAGTCTAAACACATACTTGAGATCTCTCTCTCTCTCTCTCTCTCTCTCAATGACACTCCAGAATCCCAAGTAGTCACTAAAGACTGGCAGCCCACAATTGCTGGTAGGGGTGCAAATGGATTGGATCATGACCCGATCCGATCCGAAGTCCGATCCTATATTGTCAGATTCAGATATCCCTATTTCGGATTTTTGATCAGATCGGATAATCGGGTCCGATTAAAAATCGGATTGGATTTGGATCACCCCTTATCCTATCCGAAAGGATCCGATCCAATATATATGTTATGTATTTATTTATTTATATATAATATATATGTTTATATGTTATTTATTTATTCATAAATATGTTATTTATATTCCATTTTTGTAAATTTTTTATATTATTTATTTTTATAAAATCATATATATATTGATGAAAATAGTTGAAAAAGATACTTGTATTTTTTGTTTTTCTTTCTTTACACAATTATATTTTCTTTTCCTTTTAATAATTTATTATTTTTTAAATTAATTCGGATCGGATCAGATTCGGATATCCAACATCTTGATCAGCTTCGAATTCAAAATCGGTATTTATGAGATCCGATCGGATCTACAGTGTTTCGGATCGGATTCGAATGTACCTTGATTTGAATCTGATCCAATCCGTTTGCATCCCTAATTGCTGGAAGGGGATGAAGTAGTTTTGGGAATTTGTGGCTTCTTGCCCCACCTGCCAACAATAGAATTGTGAGGCAATGGATCTCGTAGGATAACTTCAAGTTCTCAAGTCCTAGAGCTGGTATGGGAAGATATCAGTATGAATCTCATCTTTTGTCTTCCCCCAGTGTAGCTTTTCTTCTTCCTAGTTTTAGATCCTTGTTCATCTATTTCCCTTGTTGGTTTAGAGGTTTCCTTAAGTTCAATCATAGGTTCTATTGTATGGGTTTATAACCTGAGGCAAATTCTCTTTAGTGTTGCTTACTGAATTTTATTATGATACTTTAGCATTCCTTCCTTTTCTCTAACTCCTGAAGTTTTTCCATGCATTTCTCAAATAAAATTCCACAACGCCTCTTCTAGTTCAAGCAGTTTCAACACCAGGCAGTACAGTTTTTGTGATGCTGGTAGTTTGTAGTTTTGGATCTTTCCAACCAAGGTTTAAATTTTGTCAAAGCTATAAAAAAGGTTGACTTTTCATTAACTTTTGGGAGTGGTTGGAGTGAAATAATGGAATATGAAATCCATAAGGTTTTGCCAACAGTGGAATGAGAGAAAGTAGACTAAGATGGTTTTGTCACATGCATAGAAGACCATCAACAGCACCTGTAAGAAGAAGTGATCCGTTGCAAGTCGAAGGGGGTAGAAGGGCTAGGGGTAAACCAAAAAGGACATGGGCCAAAGTAGTAAGAAATG